TTATCTGGGGCAACTTCAGAAGCAGCAGAAAGTTAAATCCACATGCAGATCCATCTAACGCAGCTCTTAGGAAGCTGAATGTACAACTGTATCTTCCCAGAAAATGCATCCCAGTGTATTTACAGGGAGGATTCAAATCCAGCCTTTGCATATGCCAGGACCAATGATTTTAAGTTCCTGCTGTGCACTTAAGTGTCACTAATTACTGTTGGAACTTCATGTTCCTGCAATCACTCAAGCACTGACTGGCTTTAGAAAGAAGACACAGGGCTGCAACGGTGTGGACTTCGTAGTTACAGGCATTGCATCCTCAGCTGGTCAAGGAGCTGGCCTTGCTCCCTTGATGTCAGCAAGCTGAAGTCAGCAAGTCAAGATGACCTTTGAAAGAGGAAGCAAAAAGAAACGGACTTGTGCAGGGAAAAAAGCAGAAGGCAGAAAGAAAAAGGCAGTGAGAAAAAAGAACTGAAGAAAGCAGAGGCCTGACAACATGGCAAAGACAAAGAATAAGAGAAAGTTGGAAAAACAGCCCAAAACACCACAGGTAAGAAAGGAGCAAAGAAGGAATCAGAACTGTTTAAGGCCATAAGATATGATCAGGTGATTTCCTCCAACTTTCTGTATCACAAAATAGAGTTAAGTTTGAAAGACTGCAAAAGAAAAATCCAAAACACAACCAACAACTCAAAAACATTTTTAAAAGTTACCTGATCTGTTTATCAGCCATTTAATTCAAACTTGATCTTGTTAAGAAATGAATCTGTTCCTTAGGTTCTTTTTCAGTCACTTCTTTTTCACTTCTGTTTCTTCCTGGGAAAGGAGAGAAAGACATCAAGGAGACAAAGCTGAGACACTCACATTCTTCCTGAAGCTCAGGCCCCACTGGGCAGGCTGCAGAGTGAGGCCAGCTGAGGAACAAGTGACTTCAGGGAGCACCTGGTCTCAGAGGGGAGGCTGAGCTCCAGAGGGAGCCTTATAAAGTGTATGTGTGTATAAATCCATAAGCACATATGGAGGGAAGAGCTGCTCCAGGCTCCAGCAGCGTGTGAGGAAGGACAGCAGCCAGGAGTGCACAAGCTCTGTCCAGCATGCAGGACAGCAGTACCTGTCACAGCTCTCTTGAGCTCCAGGGAGCATTTCACACTGCATCATGTGGACCTCCAACCCTCTGCAGGTCCACCTACCGTGCCAAGAAAATCATGTGCCATCGTGAGACCCATTCAGAGCTTCCCTTCAGCACACACATGCTGTTTCTAAAAGACAGTCTTTCACAACCTGCTCCTCCAGTGGCTACAGTATTTCCTGTGTTTCCCAGCCCAAACACGCAGCCCATGCTCAGTCTTGTGCTAACACTATCTTTTAAGTAGTGCCTCTCCCTCCCCAAGCTATTGATGTGACTTTGCCCCTTGCACCACTCCTCTGAGCTCAGTGCCTACTGGCACGGCACTGAAGAGCCACAACTGCAGGAACCAGTTCTCTCCAAGACTCCTGATTGCTACTGCTCAGTAGCTGGTAGAAGTCACTACACAACGGGATCTGGACAGCGGAGAAATTTCAGAAGCGGCCACAACCCTCATCTTTCTAGAGGTGTCCTTGTCTCCTCCTCACCTCCAACCTGGGAATCAGGTGCCTCATGCTTTCATCAGGCATATCAGGGGCACTCAGGCACTCTCCTCCTCCCCTTCCAGCTGCCACCTGGGTGGCAAGCCAGAAGCAGCGGAGGTATCTTTGTCCTTTGCCTCTGGACTGAAATTTGCCCCTTAATTGCAGATTTCCTAAGCCACACAGAACCTTACATCCAACAAGGTGGCTTTCAGGCTGACAATTCTGCTCTGGGCCACAGGCGTTCCAGGGAATAAAAGGTCTCTGAAATGGTGAAGACCCGGTGATGGCACAAACAGGGACAGGAAGGAGGGGAGGTGAGGTTACACACAGCTCAGTACTGACCTGCTCCCTTCCCTGTTACATCAAGAGTGAAGGACAGGAGAGCGTGAAAGCATTTGCAGTCCCCACGCTGGGACGGCACAAGACTTTCCTGGAGCTACTGCCTTTCCAGGAGTGCCACACTCAGCTAAAGACATGACAGATGAGCACATGAGATCGCTAAGGAAAGCTAAGGCATGGGGCTCCTCTCCAAAACACTGCACGTGAAACCCACTGACTACACTACACTATTACACCTTCCATCCCTTCGGTGACCCCTTTCAGACAGTTTACCTGGTCTCACTTAAGGTCTGCTGCCACGGATTAGTTCTTGCCAGATCAGCTAAGTCTGCACTTTCAGAATGAAAGCTACTTACACCTTTTGCTGCATCTCTTTTCACATGCATGTCCACGAGAGCAGTTTGTTTCAGGTTAATCTAACTCTCTTTCACTTTAACTAGAATAAGAACAAAACAAAAATTTAGGGAGATCAGTTGCTGAAAGTCTGTAACCCTGGCATAAACAAGCCACGAACCATGACAACTCACTTGATAATGCCTATACCCTCAATAGGCTACGTTTACTGAGGCAGCAGCTCTGACAAAATACATGCACCAAGCGGTCCTGACACCCTGCTCCAAGCTCTGGCAAACTCTCCTTTTGTTCTCCCTGCTGCACTCTTCCTTGCAGAGGGGCATCCAGGAGGCCAGGAGCCCATCGCAATGGGCAACACAAGAGAAAACAGAAAGGCTGCCAATATTCACCACTGACAGCCTGCATGGAGAGCGAGAGACCGAGATGGACACACAAACGTATCACAGGGCTGTTTCTTACCTGCTGGCACAAGTAGGGCGATGGGAGTGGGAGAAGATGCTACTGTCAAGAGAGACTTAGGACAGCTGCGTTTAGCTCTCTCCTTCTGTTTTTTCTTTGACTTTTGGCTTCAGCTCTCCACCTGCCCGGTAACTGCAGAGCCCTCCCCAGCTGGAAAACTGCTGCTGCTTCCCACCAGAGAACTGATGCTCCTGCTGCAGCTGCACAACAGGAAGGGGTAAAAACAATCTTCCTGGGTTTAAAACTGGGCAAACTTACAGGTTTCCTTGGTGCTTGATGTATGGCCAGCAAATGCCAGGGCTAGTATCATCTCCACTAAGGAAAGCTACTCAACTCACAGAGACGCAAGGGGAAGCAAATGATTTTACAGCAGACACCAGCACTTGATAACTGTTTATACAGCACCTGGCACAGTGGAGGCCTGAATGTCCACGACCAGGGGATTTTAATGCATTAAAGGATTTTAATGCACTGAAGTGGAAAGCTTAATTTGAGCTCTGTTTGTTTAAATGCAGCTTGAGCAAACGACCATCCGCAAAACACAAAGTCACTGCAAACTCTATCTGAGCACTTTGCTGTGAACTACAGAGCTCCTCGAGCCCAGACCCGAGTCCCTCCCAGGGCAGGAAAACAGGTGCTGCAGTCTGAGAGAAGGAAAAACACAGGCTGGTAAGAGAATGTCCGATATTTAAACAACAAATCCAGAACAACATTATACGTTTAACCTGAAAGGAAAGAGATTAAGTAAAGACCTAAGTGTATCTCCCCAGCAACACACTGCTCTTCGGAGTCAAAAAATGCAAACAAATGCAGGCAAGCAAAGCTTCTGCAGCCAAGCTGGGGTGTAGCCCCACAACCTCCTACAAGAGCAGGGTCAGCGTGCAGGGCTTGCACCTTCCCAGGAAACCTCCCGACAGCACCTGTACTGGGGCAGCAGACAAGCCAGCAGTACCAAAAAGGTGCTGATGCCTCAGAAAGTCTTCGTATGGTTAAGCTTCATGGCCACGGGTGGACAACAGTGCTGCTGGGATTGGGAACCTGCACGGCATGAGGAGCAGAGGAGTCAAGAGGAAACTGGCAGCAGGTGGGCAGGGGCAATGAGAGCTGCCAGAGACCCTCCTTGAAGCCAAAGAGGCTGAGCAGTCCTTACAGAAGGGGGATCCTAAATTGAATATCCCACAATTAAGAGAGCGAGAGCTTCACGGGCGACGCATCATGTGGCGTTAATTCCTTCCTAGAGTGCTGTTAACACAGCTAGGCATGGATTAATGCCCCATTACTGGAACACCAGGACATCCCTTCTACATTTATTAAAATGATCAAGTAAATTAGTTTCAGAGTGGCATGCACACTACAGCACAGGGAATCACCTCCATGCTAGGCAGAGAAGTGGTGCAACGACTGCCACACACAGATAGCCCAGAAGCCTCCTCAACCCAGTGCTCACTTTTCCCAGCTCTCAAAACCCAGCTCCAGAGAGCAAAAGAGAAGTCAGTTTGGGGTACCACAATGCAAACCTAGCCAGCTTTGGATGTACCTGGTCCTCACAGACTCAGCCACTGGCAAAGTCGTGCTATTTTGCTCCCTTACTTGCCACACTCATACACACTCATCCACCTATGCTAACCAGACGGTAAGGTTTTCCCCAGGATGGCCAACCTTTGTATACTGCACTCCTGATCAGACTGGGGCACAGGACTGGACTCTTAATCTTTGGTTTCCACCTTATCACCTGAAGGATAAGTGCTTACCAGAGAATCCCAACCCAGCCTGGGGCATCAGTCTCATCACACGCCACGTGTGCCACCAGCAAGCTTGGATGTAGACGCAGGCACCCAACATCTCCACAAGCTGATACATCACAGGAGACAGAACAGGTTGAGTCTACCCATATCTTTGGCCGTACTCATTGCATGTATTGCCACTGCACTATACCTATGGGTTGGCATCTTTACCCCCACAGCTCAGCACCCTCCCTTCTTGTCTTGGTCTCCTTCTGTCAGGCCATCAGAGCCACTGCTGGCATCCTTCAAGCCAGCCGCAGGCTACCAGCCCACCAGCTCTCCCAGTCCTGCCAGCAGCCCCCACAAGAGGCCAGCTCTTCACTTCTGCTCTCTTCCAGCACTCCTATTTCCAGGCTCTCTCCTCCCCAGCAGCCCCACTCTGCAGCTGAGCACAGCCTCTTGGGCACACAGTGTCGAACAGGCCAATTTATCTGAGTACACACAGGCTGCCGTTTTGACAGAAGACCTTTAGCCAATGTCAGCTGGTGTGTCAGCTGAAGGAAGCAATCCTGTACTCTCCCTATACCCGAACATGTGTTCCCATACCTGCTTTTGTGCTAGCACAAATATTTGTGCAGAGCAGTCAGGCAGGGAGAAGAACGCCTCAAAACATCTCCCTCATGCCACAAAGAAATACTCAAGCTCCCTGGCCAGTGCAGGACAGTTCCCAGGCTGAAGGCACGTTAGAGAGGTGTTTGGCTTTACAAACACAGGTGGTGGCAGTGCACATTTACTGAGATGCCCACAGAGAAGGAAGAGGACCCAAACTCGTGATTAGCAGCAAAGGCTCCCAAGCTCTCGTTCTATCTCTGTTGCTGGCTTGCGCTTCACCTTCAGCCAGGATATCCAACCACACCTGGCAGTCTGAGGAACAGCCTGCTCCCACGACAGTCTACCTTAGGAAAAAAACAAGCCATGACCAAAAATAGTCCAACATCTTAGCAGAGGAACATGCCTGTGAGAGACTGAAAGAGTTAGTGTCTCAAACATTGTGGCAGGACAGGTCCTGCTTAACAAAAGCTGCAAGTTCTGCTCTGCAAAGAGAAAAAGAAGTGCAGGGAGCAGAGGCACCTGCCTGTCCAGGACTCAAGATGCACAGTTCTAATGTGGGGAAGGGGCTCACGACTACCCCCCAGCACACGATGGCACCTGTGCAGCAGCCTCGACGGCCTGGACTGAACCTCGAGGTTCAGAAACCTCAGAAACCTCATTTATCTTCACACAACAGCAGTCAAGAAGACAAAACAGAGACAGCA